GCTTCACCCTGGGACACCAGGGTGTGTGGATGGCCAGCAGCATCTGGTACCGTGAACCGGAGCTGAGCAGCTTTGCTATAAGAGGAACAGGGAAGAAGCCACAAATATTGGAGTGGTTTGAAAAGGAAGCCCGGTTTGGAGCAAAACACCCGAGGAAAAGCACGCAAACTCTCCCCGTCCCTGCAGCCATGCCTGGTCGCCATTCCCACCTCCCTGTGCCCCTTGGCAAGAGCAGCCGGGGGGGTGAGAAGTTTCCTTTCATGGTAGGAGTTTTCTGGGAAGTTTAAGCCTGTGGCAAACATTTCCAGGAAAGGCATTGCAAAGCCTTGGAGAGACGGGTTTGCTCATCACAGCAACAAACTGAATGGAGTAAAATGGCAGTGGGGGGAGAGTAGGGAAAAGCTGGGACATTTTTCAAGCATGAAAATGGGGGAGATGGATTTAGACTGATGTGAACTGTCGAGTTGGAAATTCCTCCTCTAGGACTGAGCAAGATAAGCAAATCCCCCCGTGGCCCTGGCTTCAGTGCCTGAACAGTGCTGGAGCTTGGAGGCAGCATTTGCGTGGCGTTTTGCCGAGGAAAAATGCCTTTTCCTGCCCGTTGGGGAGCGGGTCCTGCGGCAATGACGCTGCGGCAGGCAGGCGCGATGCGGATGCCGAGGTGATTCAGCATCTGCCGGGATGCTTTCCTGCCAGCGCCAGCGGGTGCTGGCCCGTGGGGGCTGCTGCTGGGGGAGGCAGATGCTGGCAGCCCCGGCAGGGAGGAGGTAACGCAGGATGCTGGCTCTCACCTCGCCTCTGGGCAACGATGAGAGCCATGCCGGGGATGCAAGCACACGGCTTGGCTGCCTTATCCCTGCCGGATGGGGCATTGCGGACACTGTGGCTCATCAGGAAGGTTGTGGGGAGCCCCAGCGGCAATTGTGCAGCAGGAGTTGACCCCGAACATCTTGGGTGCTGCGGGGGAAACGTTGCCTGGAGCAACTGCTGATACAGGACCCAAACACAAGCCCCGTGGCCCCAAAGGGAGGCTTATGGGGTCCCAAACCACCCTCTGCTCTCCAGGCTGCAGTGGGGTCTCCAGGAGCACGTCGCAAACATCACGGCCGGTGGGCTTGTCCTTCCCCAGCCTCAGGGAGGAGCAGATCCCCGTGGGGTTGGAGCGCTCAGGGGGGCTCCTCATGCTGGAGGGGAGAGCAGCAGCACTCAGTGACCACCCGTCTCCCCTCCCTGCTTGGCAGCAGCAGGTCACTGTGTGCCCCTAGCCCCTTTGGGTGGGGGGCAATGGGCCAGGGGCATTTCTGCAGGAGGCAAATCTTTGCCTGGGAGAGGAAGGGATGGGGATGCCGGCGGGGGCAGCACCCACAGATATAGCCCAGGAAGTGCGGGGGCACTCGGGGTCGGGGGGTCCCCGCTCCAAAGGGTGCTGGGCACCCTGCCCAGTGGGGAGGCTCCTGTCAAACCAGGGTAGCACCTGCGGAGCATACAGGCTGGGGCAGGGCGGTGAGGACTGGGCGAGCTGTGGAGGCAGCAGCGTGCGGGAAGCCTGGCACTGGGGGAACTGGGGCCTCTCGCCCTGCAGAGCTTGTTTTGCTTTCGCCTCCTGTTGCACACCTAGAACAAAAGTTCAGAGGTTGCCCCAGGATTGATGCCGTGACAGGCTGCCAGAGGGAAAGCAGTGCCGCTGCCAGACGGGGCGAT